ATCTGCAGTTCCTACTATCCCTAGTTCTTATGTTCTTATTTTGCTTCTCTTCAATGAGCTACAAATTTTTCTGTTTAAAAAATATAACAAATTCCTTTTTAAAAAGTCATTAAATCTTTTTGCATTATCCTTTCAGACATTCCTGTGTCAAACAGTCTTTTCATTTCCCCTCATTTTCTTTTGCCAATTATCTCAAAGCTATGTCTACCAGTTTATAATCCTGCCACAGGTGGAAACCATTGCTCCTTATTTGCTGCACCAAAGCCTTTCAGAATTTTGAACACCTTTAATGCTTCTCCTGTTAATAATCTTTGCTGAAAGGAAAACAGTCCCAGTTTCTCGAGAGTTTCCTTATAACTGAAGACCTTCACCACTGGTCATGTTCGAGAAATTTCCTCTGCACCCTGCTGAAAGGTCTTGACATCCTTCCTGAAACGTGGTGCCCAGAGTTAGACAAAATATTTTGGTTGATTCTAAACTCATGCTTTAAAAAGATTTTGCATAACTTCCTTGTTTTATGCTTTGTGTATCTTCTATAAAATCATGCATCTTATGATTTTAATAGCCTTCTCAACTTATCCTGTCACCTGTAAAGTTTTGTATGGTGAAATCCCAGGTCTATGTTCCTGCACCATCCTTACAATTGTGCCAATAATTTGTACAGTGTCTTATTCTTTCTACAAAAGTGAATCACTTTTCACTTCTGTGTTAAGTTTCACATGCCATGTATCTGTCAATTTCAACAGTCTATGCCCTTCTGAGTCCCCCCGTTATTTTTTGTTGTTTGCTATATTTCTAAGTTTTGTGGCATCTGCAGAAATTGAATGAATGTCCCTGGTATCCATGTACAGTGTGAATCATTAGTATGTTTCAGAAAGTGGTCCTAACACTGATCTTTGGAGGGCACTACTGTAAACCTCCCTCTAGTCTGTGAAACTGCTCACCACAACTCTGCTTTTTGTCTCTTGGTCATTTCATATCTGTGCTGCCTGTGCCCCTTTAATTGCAGGGACATCAATTCACTAACAAGGTTAATATAAATCATGTAATTATTTCAAATCCTCCAATTTATCTAAGAATTAGAAGATATGCACCACATATTTCTCATGAACTTCGCAGCGTTCAATGGTTTGTTTTCTCCATATTTTTGTTTGATCTGTGGATCATTACTAAATATTTCAGTCTTAGATCTGCTATTATGAATATTTTCAAGAAGATTATATTGTACTCCATGTTATATTCACATTCGCAGATTCCATTCAGTGCCAGAAGTCTACGGAACTCGAGGGTCCTCAACAGCAAGTTTAAAAGCTGCTTCTGATGATTGTACAATGAGAGAAGGCAACAGCTACAATATTGAAATGGATTCTCAGCAGACAGAAACCTCCAAGCAGATATTGCCTGCTTCACAGCCTCACGCCGGATCTCCACATACCAATTACTTACAAGCAGAACTGTACAATCCACATGATTTTACACATCTTAGACAGCTGGATTCCAACTATCATCCCTCTGGATTTTACCACCTGAATCCACATGATGTCTATGCTGCTGCTGCTGCTCATGGTCTTCTCACTGATGAGGATCTTCTTCATGCTGGTATTATTGCCTCTTTACGAGAATCTGGAATGGACCAGAACCATAAAGTGGAAATACCTAAATCTTCAGTCTCTTCTCTACGGTAGGTAGCTGACAGTAAAAGATTTTTCTAAAGCACTTTGTACACTTTACGGGAATATTTTCTTTTCAGTTATCTGGTTCAGGAAGGATTACCGAGCAGTCAAATTCAGGTACCAGCAATTATTGTTGTCAAGGATATGAGAATAGTGTAGGAAGGTGAAAACTAGTCATGATCTTATTGAATTCTGTAACAAGTTGAAGGGGTCAAATGGCCCACTTCAGTCTTATAATTCAATATCATATGAACATGTGGGATAGGAGCAGATGATGGCCCCTCAACACTGTGCCACCATTCAGTGAGATCATGACTCATCTGGTTGTATTCCAAATTCCATAATCACATTTACTCCCAATAACCCTTCATTCCCCTGCCAACACAAATTTATCCATCTCTTCGGCAAAGTTCCAAAGTTGCATAACCTTCTGAGAGAAGAAAATGCTTTTCATTTTTGTCCTGACCCCTAATTTTAAAACAGTGCCCCTAGTTCAGGACTGATCTGTAAGAGAAAACATCCAGTCCATATCTACCCTGTCAAGACCATTCAGAATTTTATACATTTGAATCAAGCCAACCCTCACTGTTCTAAACACCATTCAATAAGCCCTGCCTATCCAACTTCTCAAAGACAACAAACTCATTGTGGATATCATCGCCAATGTCTTTACATCCTTTAAATAGGGAAATGAAAATTGCACACAGTGCATGTGATGTGGCATCACCAATGCCCTGTATAACTGAAGCATAACATCCTTTTATGGTCATTTCCTCTTGCAATAAAGGATAGTATCCCATTCACCTTCTGAATTACATGCTGTACCTACATACTAATGTTTAGTAACTCATGCACCATCTGACTACACTGCAGAATTCTGCAGTCATTCTCAATTCAAGCGATTCTGTGCTTTTTTTATTCTTCTTGCCAAAGTGAACAACTTCATATTTTCCCACATTATACCAGTCACCCAACCTATTTGTATCTACCTGTAACTTTCTTATGTCTTCACAGTATATTTTCCTACCTACCTTGGTGTCATCTGCAAATTTAGCTACCCTGCCTTTTCTCCCCTAATCTAAATTATTGATGTAAATTGTAAAAAGTTGAGGCCTAGCAGACTTCTATAATTGTCACATTACATATCAGAGAGAAAGACCCATTTATGTACACTCTTTGTTTTCTGCCAGCCAATCTTCTATCTGTGCTAATTATGCTTACCCTTATGCCATGAGGTTTTAGTTTGCAATCCCTATGTCATGAGCTTTTAGTTTGCAATGATAACCTTTGATGTGGTACCTTATCAAATGCCTTCTAGAAATCCACATATAGCACATCAACAGGCTCTCCTTTATCCACAGCACGTATTACTCCATCAAAGAACTCCAATGAATGGCATAAACATAATTACACTTTGATTAAGCTCGATTACATTGAGCTTTTCTAAGTGTGCAGCTATAACCTGTTTAATGAGCAATTCTAGCACCTTCCACATGATAGATGTCAAGCTGAATAGTCTGGGGCTTTTTTCCCTGAAGCATTGGAGGCTGAGGAGTGACCTTACAGAAGTTTATAAAATCATGAAGGGCATGGATAGGGTGAATAGCCAAGGTCTTTTTCCCAGGGTAGGGGAATCCAAAAGTAGAGGGCACAGGTTTAAGGTGAGAAGGGGAAAATTTTAAATGGGCATAAGGGGCAACATTTTCATGCAGAGAGTGGCACCTGTATGGAATGAGCTGCCGGAGGAGTTGGTGGAGGCAGGTACAAATACAGTATTTAAAAGTGCATCTGGATGGATTCATGAATAGGAGGAGTTTAAAGGCATATGGGCCAAAAGCTGGCAAATGGGACTAGATCAGTTTAGGATATCTGGTTGGTATGGATGAGTTGGACCGAAGGGTCTGCTTCCGTGCTGTATATCTCTATAACTCATTCTGGCCTATAGTTTCTTGTTATCTGTCTCCCTCCTTTCTTTAATAGAGAGATTATATTTGCTACTTTCCAATCCAATGAAATCTTTCCTGAATTTTGGAAAATGATCACTAATGGATCAACTACCCCACTATCTTATGAGCAACCTCTTTTAAAACCCTGCATGAAGACTGTTTGGACCCAGAGACTTGTCAACCCACATCTTCATCAGTTTGCTGAGTATCACTTCCTTCGTGATAGTAATTTCACCAAGTTCCTCTCTCCTTCCACCTCCTGATTTATAACATTTACTGGAATTTTTTTTGTATCCTCTATTTGTTCATTTCATCTGCAATTTCCTTATTATCTACAATTAACTCCTCATTCTGATTCTCTAGAGGATCAATAGTCACTTTCTCATTGCTTTAATTTTCAAATACCCATAGAAACTCTTGCTATCCAATTTTATATTCTTGCTAGCTTCCTCACATATTATAATTTCTTTATCCTGATTAACATTTTAGTCATTTTCTGCTATTCTTTATATTATGATCAATCATCTAACTTGCCACACATCTTTGTGCAGTTCTATGATTGTTTTAAATTTGAAGCTGTCCCTAACACCCTTAGTTAACCACAGATGGTGGATCCCTTTAAAACTTGCATTCAGATGTTTTCTTTATTGTAGGAATCAATTTATTTCTGAAATATCCTTTCAATGTCTTATCACTGTGTCCCTGTTTCCTAGCCTAGTATTTCAGTTAGCTCAATATTCATGTTCACATAGTTGCTCTTGTTTAGGCTTAAAACACAGACTGTAGACCACTCCCACTTGTGACTTTGTTCCCAGATTATTCCTCATTTCCACTGAAGCCGATTCCACATCCTGGTCTCCTGAGCCAAGGTCACTTCTACCGCCCATTTTAAATGAACAGCCTAATAAAAATTAATTGCATTTTTTGCATCATCAGCTGTTTAGTCTACTTTGCTGTTGGAAAATAATTGTAATTTTATTGGATTATATTTGCAGAAACATAATTGTGGGGGAAATAATGGTAATGTCACTGGACTAGTCATCCATAGGTTTAGGCTATTGCTCTGAGGACATGGGTTCAAATCTCACCACTGTAGCTTTTGGAGTTTAAATTAATTAATAAAATGTGGGATTGAGTGTCAATATTGTGACCATGAAGATAAGATCAATTGTCATTAAAAACTATCTGGTTTACTAATGAATTTGCCATCCTTACCTGGTTTGGCCTTTGTGTAACTCCAGGTCCACAGTATTATGGTTGTGCTTTGGACCACCAATAAGCCACTTAGGTCAAGGGCAGTTAAGGATGGGAAACAAATGCTGACCCTGCCAACAGCACTCACATACCATGAAAGAATAAAAAAAAAATTTCACATAATCCTATGTGAATTTTTTTTTAATGTCTGTCCCTCTCTCAGATTACAGCAATTAAAACAGATGGGTTTTTCAACTGAAAAGGCTGCCTTAGCATTGGCTGCTTCAGGAAAAATAGAAGGCGCCATTAATCTTCTAGTGGAAGACCAAGTTGGAGATGATGCTGTTGTGACCGTGGCAAAGGTGAAAACAACATCCAAGTGACTATAATCAATACTGCTGGTTAATATCCTCTGCAGAAGCAAATAACTTTACAGGCTCCTGAAAGATGACTTAAATATGGCCATATGATGCAACTTTTGAATGGGTCACAAAATGAAATATGAGCATTGTTTAGTCTTTTGTTACATATACGTAACAATAAAATTATTCCTTAAATTTTCAAGCCCAGTGGTCAAATTTTAATGGTATATTTCAGCACGGTCAATAATATTTATTTATATTGAAAGGGATAGTGGACAGATGGATATGGTTTGAAATCTGTTTTCCATACACCTGTGCCAAGTCCAAAATGGCATGCTGCATACAGTGTCAATTAAAGTGAAATACAGCAGTTTTGGATAGCCAAACACTAAACTTGTACTTGCTGTCACATTTGGAATTATATGAAAAGTCATGAAGAATATAAACATAAATAAAATTAATTCAAATGTGTTCCTAAAAATATACAACAGCTTAACCAAATTTGGTCACATAAACAACTTGTGGGTTTTTTTTTGTCTTTACACAGCAATAAGATATCTTATAAATGTAAAGAAAGGCATCAAAACAAATTGGTGAAAAGACTTAATTTACCTTTTAATGAATACTTTTGACATACTTCTCGTAGTTGGTATAAAACAGTGCTCTGTACATGAAAATAAGTAGCCCTTTAAGACAGGATATGAAAACACAGTGGTACCAAAAGTTGTACATTGTAAATATACTTATTAATTGAATACCTTTGCTAGCAACCTGCATTAAAAGCCCATTGTCATGATACAGAATCTGCGAATAAACTAATAGCAAACTGAGATCAGAAACATGTCGTTTTAATCATAAAGTCAAACACTGCACACTGAGCACCATTAAGACACACACAATTCAGTTACAGCCCAGAATGACTATATTTGAAATGCTACCTTCAAGTACAAATTCAGAGATATCTGTACATAAATACTTAGTACATTTCCATGCCTTGCTGGTAAAATGTTCCATTTATTTTGATCTAAAATTTTAAGTAGCAGTCCTCTGTTTTCTTGAGTATTAAATTGGATGTGCAATTAATCCACTTTTTTTTTTGATTTTCTATCTATTTTAGTGTATGCCCTTTAGAATTAAAATGCACAACTTGTAGTAAGATTTTTAAAATGTTTAGAAATTACTGATATTTAATGTTCAAATGTGATGGCAAAGGCAGTATTCCTTCGGATTGATACCTTCAGCAATGCACGGATCATCTCAATTTGCTACAAAATAAAATTTCTAAATTATATTTCATCCAATCATAGGAAAACAACACAAATGGCTCACTTCAATATTTGCTTTACCATCCCTTACTGCTGTTACCATAAAAGTAAAAATGATCAGTAATTAAGCTCTAATATAATTTAAAGAGACAGGATCCCATTTGTTTAACTTCTCCCAAACATTCATTCCAATTCTCAGAATGTATTCAAACACAAACTGATGCCAGCTTTAATTTATAAATGTCCAATATGAGGGAGGTGGGCTGTACAAGTGGACATTCAAATGCAACTACACTATTTGCAAAGTCTGTATTTCTTGATCACTGAAAACGCCTTTTAAAAATGGAAGAAAATTTTAAAAATCTATATCTCTGTAATTGTTAATTCCCTTTGATCTAAAACTGTTTACATTCCAATTAAGTAATCATTACTGGCAAGCCTACTTCAAATCAAAAACACTAGAAAAAAGACCCTGAGTGCACAGAGATGTTAGGTTCATAAACTGGAATGGACTAATCCAACAAAGAGTCAATAATCTGTCATAAATTGAGCAGGTAACCATTCCGGAGAGAGCAGTATGCAAGGAGGTGACCAAGGGACACTGTCTCATTAAACGTTTTTTTCCATGTAATGAAACTAATTTATCTTTTGAAATACAAAATTTAAACTGACAATAGTATGATTATACAGCATTTTAGAAAAAGTAATCTACTTGTGATAGGAAGTAAATGCAAAGTAAACACTTTCACAAATATAGGATAATGGCTGCTTTATGAAATATTCACCAAAGGCTATGTTTATGAAAAAATACAGAATAGTCATCAAATGATGAAACATTTTGTGATATCTATAGCAATACTCTGAGATTCCCATTAAGACAGCAGCCTAAAACACAAGTTATTTTCAGCACAAGTAGAGCAAAATGCTCGCAGTTGGACAAGGCAAATCAAGTTAGTCCACTGATGTATTACACGCAGGACAAATGCTTTATGAACAGTTCCAGTGGTTTGGTAATCTGCTTACCCCAGTTTACCACGTTGTTTCAGGAAGGCACCTGTTTACATTTGTTGTCATTGACATTGTTCATAATCATTTCTCTTCGGTTTTATGTGCAAGCCTGTGTGAGATAATCTTGTAGGCTGCAAAGCTGCCTCGCTTGCCTCTGAAGAAATTTGGAGGTACAGTAGCGTAAGGATCTACTCCAGATCCATGATCAGGTTCTGTTATGTTAAAGACAACATAGTAAGTTGAGTTGTGCAGAAAGTTCATTGGGCTGTAATAGAGTTATGTAATAATCTACAAGTAAAGAACAGAAAGGCAAATAATTAACAAATTAAGTTATCTATCATGAGTGCTTTGTTGAATCTTAGGTTTATATTTTCAGAATGGAGGTTGAATTGTACATCTAGAATACTGACCTTCAAAAAATAGCATTTTACTAGCTGTAATTTAGTTGTCAGAATTTGAAATGTGTGGCGTGGCAATGACTTTGGGCAATGGTACTGTATGTAGGCATTAATTTCAAACATTCCTCTCTGCTATTTTCGTTATTCTTTTTTGACAGAAATGGCTTAACATTCCGATTAAAATGGAGAGAATTTTGCAATGAATGCAGAGCATTCTCAACTTAACAGCAATCATGATCTTTTTCAGATTATCTTCAAAATTCTGAAAGAGGAATTAAGACATATTAAAATCCATTCTCTACAGGTTCATCACTTAGAGTCAGTACCAAGCTTCTGGTGTTACAACAAGAATTTAGTTTTAGCAAAGCTTGGAGAAATTACAGGAAATTACTGCATGAGATAGAAAGGGAAATTCCAGATTTGCCAATAATGGAGAGAAATGAGTCTGAAAAATTAAGGACCTAAAGATGTTTACTCACTACATGCTTAAGTCAAAGCAACTGATTTCTCTTCGGTTGCTTCTCTAATTTTAATATAGGATTTTTTTGGAAGAAAATTATGAGAAAATATTTTCAGATTGTACATATAGATTTAAAGAATTGGAATCATCCAAAAGTGTTTCAATATATCTACTTTATCAAATTAGTCATTTCCACCCACAATTTGATAGTTAACTTAAAAAGTGAAAGCTCTCTCAGTTTTAGTATACATAATATCTTTTAGCAATTAACAACAGTGCACTGGTTATTTTATATCAGAAAAAGAAGTGACTTGTGACTTAACAACAATCAGGTAAATTCAAACACCTAGTGCAATAAAAATAGAAATACTAGGAATACCCAGCATCTGAAAAATAAGTTGGTGAACTATTTTTGTGGGGTAAGAAAATCTCTTCTTAGAATTGACCAGAACAAAGGGAATGCACATCAAATGTGTTAAAAATGTGTGAAATATGAACCTGTCTTTTCTCAAGTTGATAGCTGGGCATCACAAATACAACATGTGAGTATATTTATGGGCAAGTTGCACAGCCTGCCTTACTGATGCAGGTGTGCACATGTAAGTCTGCAAGACGGCTATTTAACAGGATCATCAACCTCTTGCAGGTTGATCTCCTTAGGCTGTTGCTACAAATCTTCACGCATTTGTTGCTGTCTGTAGTTGTGTCAAGTTGCAGAAGTCTATTGGGAGTGGTGTGTGTTGAAGGATTTTGCTCACTAATTTTACAATATCTGCACAAAACAATTGAAGAGAGGATGCTTCTCAGCAACTGGCCACATCTGCCCAAACTGTTAAGGAACATTATTTTCCAACGCAAACCTGAGCCAGGAGCAAAGTGAGAGATGTCTGCACTGCTAAAGACATCTACATTGCAATCACCAATCACAAATCAGAACAAGAGTGACATTGCCACTGGCTTTGAGGATGACCAAGTGAATGAAGGTTTCTCTGTCTGGCTCGTTGAGACTTGTAGTTGGGGACAATTGCAACATCTTGCAGTTTGCCATCCTCTGTGACTCCCTATTCAAGGAAAGTTAGAATTTCTTTCATACTTGCCAGGGATAAGCAGATAGAGCAAGCATGCAGCTTCGCTAGGATTGCAGCCTGTCCAACATACAGTATGCCACTCGATGGACAGACATTGCCTTACATGTAGCACACAGCAACTCTACTGGAAGGAATATCTACAGATATGTGATCATAGGCACTGGATCATGCACAGTGTCCAATTTGCAGCAGTTCATTGAGCCAAGTGCATTTCAGCCATCATGGCAAATCAGAGGGTGAGCACCATTTGTTGCTTATTCCAGTAAGGAACCCATGCATTTGCGTATTGATAAGAGACACGGAGTCAAAGATTCTCATCTTGCCCTCACCAGGATAGGTCACAAGAAACAAATATGAAGAAAAGGGACAATAATTAATACAGTTAATCTTGATTGGTTGGACTATTGTTGACATGGACATGCAGCAGGATCATGACTGTCAGTCTTGGTTCTAGCATAGACAGGTAGATTCCAACTGGTCAAGGCATTTCCATCAGAATTGGTAGTCTGGATGACGCTTTTCATTTTCACCAACTAAAATGGTGCAACGTATGTTTGAATTCACTTTCAGAACACAAAACAGGGTCCTGTGTTTAGAATCACATCGAATATTCTGAAACTTGCAAGCATGGTACCAGCTGTGAGTATTGTTTGATATGGTCCATCAGTTGTTGAGGCATACAGCCTTCCTATCCGACAACACAACAGCACTAAAATTCATATATCACATTACTATTGGTGTTACAGGCAAATGTCTTTTTGGCAAGGCAGTAGTATCTTGTTACTAACAGCATGAGAAGCTAGCTTCACTTGCTCAAATTTATGAGATACCTTCCACTTTCAGGTTAATCAGAGGTGAACCGGGTATCACCAGGGTCAGGGAATTTGGAATGGTCTCCTTCATGAGCTTCTGCAATATAGAATGAATGGTGATTTCATCAGCGTAGCCATGATCTTTACAAAAATGAAGGTATCCTGCATAATTTATGTGGAAAACCAATTTAAAAGCGGTTGCAACAGCTCACTCAACCATTTGGCTGGCTAATTTATGCTGTGCAGAGCCAGTCATAGATAAAATAGGGTATAATGGAATAATGCTTTTTTGTGTCTCGAGCAGCTCATTCATGCATGAACTCAGTTACTCTAAGGATCTGCCTATGGCGATGGGCGCCAGTTCCATATATTGTTGCCATGCATGGACCTGAGGGGCCTGCACTGCGTAGCTGAAAAGAAAATTAGAGGGAATATTGGTAATGACCTGTGAGGCTGAATCCTACCATATGTATATCAGCAAGTAGATGACCACCTTTACGTGGTTCAAGAGCTTCTACAGCTTGCCAGAGAGGTGGCTGTGTAGTCAAGTGTTGTAGTGGATCCGAAAGATATACACATTGAACTATCATTGAGCACAGAATGCATTTTGTTCACGTAGTCATGTTTGTTGAATGCGACTATTCAGGTCCCCTTGCCAGGTGTATGTAAACATATATCAAGGTTTGCCTTAAGATTAAGTACGATGTTTGCAATGCAGATGAAAATCTGTTAATTCATGAGGTGTTCCAGAACTGCTTGATGTGTATTCAGGGCCTATCATCCTTGTTGGATGTTGGTTTGTGGGAGTGGGAATGAAAGAGTTTGGACTTAGCAAGTTCCCTTCCTGTTTAATTTGAAATTAGCTCTCATGCTACTACTTTCTCCACTGCAAAGTAGCATCATCAGCCCATCAAATACTGCAACATGGTTCGGTTTGCAAGTATGTGAACAGAGTTGGTCACAGTCCATGCTGGAGAAGATGGCTCCAATTTCTGCATTCAGCTGTGCGTAAGGTTTGTGCTAGATGCTTCCATGCTCTTTAGCACTGACTGCAGACCTTCTGGCAAGCTTCCCAATGAATCAAGCATTTTGCCACAGATCTCCATCAGCATTCTTCTGTAGCATGTCCCATTGAAGCCCTGGTCCAAGATAGTGGAATTTGTATGTGATAATCTCTGGTAAACTGGATTTTGTGCTATCCTTACCCTCTGTCATTGCACACTTCTGCCTGATTTCTCAGTAAGTGCAGATCCAAAAAAATTCTCCCTAAGATACGTACTGTCAGTGTTTGAGGTAGTGACTGAGTGTCAAATCCAAGTGGAGGTGATGTATTTGTTCAGGCTCTTTCACAGTGATCCTCTGCTCCCTGGCCAGGTTGCAGCTAGTAGGTACCTGAAGCAGAAAGATTTGGGCTGGAAGCAAGAAGAGCAAGCTTACACCATCAGCTTATAAATGAGAATAGAGTGCAAGATGAGAGGCAAAATGGGATGTGATGGAAGAATTAAGCATAAAGATGCCATTATCTTCAACAATTTCAGCCCTGCACTGGCACATCCTCAGCAATGGTTGTTTCAGCAATGGCCAGCACTATCTCCTCCATAGGATTTAGAACAGATAAGGGATGATTGGAGAAAACTGAACAAGACAGTTTTAAATCACCTTGTCCTGCATGAGTGAAGCAAGTATGCTAGTTGATGGTGTGAGATCTGTTTGGTTAATGTGATTAAATCAGTGGCAATGTATGCAGTCTCAGAGATGAATGTGTAAGGCTTGCATCTGTGCAAAGTGTGTGATGTTACAGTAAGATGTATGCATGATAGGCATGAGACCCTATTGATAGATTTGTTGGTAGGTGAGAAATGGGACATTGGTAAATTGGACATTGTTTGAAGCTAATGGTACAGTTTGGAGTCATGGCAACTTATGGTGCATTCTCTCAATTATTTATATGAAGACACTGAATTTCTTGTGGCATTATGTCCAGATCCTTAGGCCTTGATTCATGGTAATAGTCTCCATAGATATCTGCTCCTGTTGCCCTATGTATAGTGGGAAACTCTCCTTTTCCATTGATGAGACAAGGCACCTCCTCCTTATTATCCATTCCATCAAAACCTCCAATGTAAAGTACACTAAAACACAGGAGCCCACGCTCTCCCGCATTGTGCCATCTTATGATCCTTCTGACAACTTGCAACATTTGCTCCAGCCACAATATACCTCCCTTTTAAGAAGTGCAAGCTAACTTTGAGCAGTGCAGTCTAGTTTCAACTGGCATTTGCCACATGTAATATAGGCATTGCTGATGGTGAGATCATTCAAATGAATAGGCAGTATGTTGGGCATGGATTAATCATGCATCGCCAATTTTTGTGGGCTATTCAATATATCCATTATACTCCAACAACAGTGGGAATGGAATTCAGAACAAGTACAGTCTTCTCAGGGAAAACAGGCAAAGTAGGATCAGACCATCTCCAAACTATGAGTGGCATGGTAACTCAGTGGTTAGCACTGCTGCCTCACAGTACCAGGGAGCCGGATTCAATTCCACCTTCGGGTGGCTGTTTATGTGGGTTTCCTTCAGGTGCTCTGGTTTCGTCCCACAGTCCAAAGATGTGTAGATTAGGTGGATTGGCCAGGCTAAACTGTCCACAGTATCCAGGGATGTGCAGGCTAGGTGCATTAGCCATGAAGAAATGCAGAGTTACGGGGTGGATTCTGGGCGGGATGCTCTTCGGAGGCCCAGTGTAGACACAATGGGCCAAATGGCCTGCTGCCACACTATAGGGATTCTATGATTCAACAACAATTCAGTCAGTTTGATTTATTGAAGTTGACTGATTCTGAGATATAGTTTTGAAATTCCAGCATCTGTGACAACAGATGAGAAAGAAATAGTATTTTGTAGAATGGATCTTTTCACATTAATAGGCTCAGTACTTCACCATGAAGAGAGGAAACAAAGGAAGATGTCGAAGAAAATGCATTTAAATGGAAACACTGAACCTGACAAACAGCCTGATCAATGGACTTTAAAATAAAACAGGCAGCAACTACTTTGCAGAGGACCATGATAATTTAGTATATTAAATTTATCATATGTTTTGCAATGTTATAAATGTAACGAGAATTGAGAGGATTTTTAAAACTTTTAAATTCAGTATTTGGCAACTTGTACCTGAAGTAAATGCTGCATTTGCTGCACTAGAATTTACAGAATGTATTGGATTAATTTACTCAGCAATAAATAATTTGGTTCTTATTAAGCATTTTTTTCTTATCGATAAGTCCAATCTTTCCACAGAATGTGTTGATTGAGTGTGATGCTGAGCTCAGTCTCTCACAATTGCTCTAGAATGTGATTTTTGATGTTGAACCCATATTGTCTGAAGAATATCAATACTATGTAATTAAGGTTTTAGAGTAGATTTGTAGCTCGGTTTGTGCATATTGTGGTTGGTTGGCTCGCCGAGCTGGTTCGTTGTTCCGCAGACGTTTCATTACCCTACTGGGTAACATCATCAGTGCAGCCTCTGATGAGGCGCCATTGTGTTTTCCCGCCTGTTATTAAAACTCTGGAGTTCATTGAGCTGGATTACCTCACTTCCGGTTTTCCGGCACAGTGGAGTGTATATGGGGTTGAGCTCTATGTGTTTGTTGATGGCTTTCTCCGTGGAGTACCAGGCTTCTAGGAATTCCTGTGTTTGTCTCTGCTTTGCTTGTCCTAGGATCTTGGTGTTCTCCCAGTCGAATTGGTGGTTCTCCTTATTCATGTGGATAGAGATGAGTGAGTATTGGTCATGTCTTTTTGTAGCCAATTAGTGTTCATGTAACCCTGTTAATTTCCTTCCTGTTTGTCCGATGTAGTGTTTGCAGGGAATCTTGTATATTACACTGGTCCTGTCCATAATGGGTAAAGGGTCTTTGGTTCGGGTTAGCAGTTGTCGTAGGGTTGATGTGGGTTTGTGTGCTACTCTGATGCCCAGTGGTTGTAGGAGTCTTGTGGTCAGTTCAGATGTGTTCCTGATGTAAGGTAGCGTGATGAGTATGTCAGGGCATGTAGTATCTTCCTATCCAGCAGGGTAATGAAATGTCTGTGGAACAACCAACCAGCTTGGCGAGCCAACCAACCACAACACTATGTAATTATTGTCAGAGACAGAGGGTAGGAATTTTCAACTACCAAGAGTTCCCTGCCCTGACACCCGAAGAGTTGTTAGCTATGTAGCCCCACAACAATTTAATGCCCTTTGACTGGAGAGGGCACTTCTGCTCCTAACTTGATGGGAGTTCCGCTTCAGGGGTTGCTGGCCAATCTAACTGACTGGCAGCTCTGTGGTTCCAACATCACCATTGGCACCAGAGGCCAGGGCTGTGATTGCAAACAGTCCCCAGATTCCAAGTCCCTGAGTCCAGAATGAGTTAAGCACAGGGAGTCTCCTGGTGGGGAGGAGAAGACTGGGGTAGAGTGTAGAGAGGTCTGGGGTACTTGGCAGAGAAGCCACTGGCAAATGGAGCACCTGCAGAGGGCAGATCTTGTGGATGGGGATTTGGGGCAGCAGCCAGTGGAAAGAGCCTTTAAGAAAGGCACTCTCCAATCTCATTTGAGGCTTGTGCAGGGTGACCTGCTGGGCTTGCTTCTGCAGCAGAATGACTTCCACCACCTGGGTGGGAAGTAGCCCTTAAGTGGGCAATTATCAGCCACTAATTTCCCACTAAAAGGCCTCAGTTAGGGTGTTGGTGGACAATCTAAAATTGCGTACAGGTCAGAGACAGGCAAGAGGATGGCGAAAAAGTCATCTGGGGAATTTACAGACTCCCCACTGTCAGCAAATGTGTAAAACCCTACCCTTATACACAACTTGTAAAAGCACATTAAATAACTTGTTGTATATAAAATATACACATTTCTTGCATCAATAAAACTTGGAAATCAAAGTGCCCTAATACTATGCTAGTACTTTGCTTGAACGGCAGTATCTATATATGTTTCAATATATATTTAAAAATACACTGTAGGTTCTTAGTGTGGCTCATTATTGGTTGCATTGTACACTTTGAAGAAAGCAAAAATTTTCCCCTCTTTTAAAGAGTGAGTTTTCATAATATCTTAACATTTTTAACCAGCTATAAAAATAGTTTAATATCATTATAAATTATTTGGCAATTATAATTGTCATGCTCAACATTAAAAACTCATATTTCTCTGTCATTAATATATTATTTGACTAAATATAAAGATATTGGGATTGTCTGAATTATTATGAGAAGCCACTTTAAGTAGCAAAGTAAAGATCACACTAGAAAAACAAAGAAACACAGGAACTCTTTAATATTTAACCCTGCTCTACTAATCTACGTATTGTTTGATGTTTGATTTGCAATGTGCAATGTGTTTTCATTTTAGCTAAAATATTAATTTTGTGCCTGTCTGACTATGATTCTGCAATTTAGTTTTACAAAAACAAATTTATGAACAAGATAGGAATTTACCTGTTTGTAAAAGTCAATGCAACAATCACTCTACACACAGAAAATGCATATTGAGTACAAACTCAGATAGCATTGTTATAAAATGACTCACTTTTATAAACTGTATTCAACTTTACTTTGAAGGACATTATAATTCAATCTCAGTCGATGGAATGACTATAGTGTAAGCAAAAAATGCATGAAAAGCAGGGATAGACATTGCAATAAATGGGGTGCTAAAGGGCATAAAGAGGCAATTACTCTCCTGCAATGTAATTCACAATTTTACATGTTGAATGGTAGATATTTTTACGGTTTACTAGACATTTTATTAATTTCTTTTAACCTTTTGTTCCTTCTCACTTTCCTGGGAAATTATTCCAGCGCCACCAGCAAGGTAGTAACTTTGTTGCAGCTGTTATTTTATTTGACCATTCTCTCCTCCATCATCCAATTTGAACGACACAACCTACCTCTGAGGATGGTGACTTCACAGTGTGGTTCCTTCATGTGCCTGAAGCTAAACATATTTTTCCCAAGAAGTCATTTTCATGTGAGTACCCAGGTGGTGAGTGTCTGAAGCCCATTAAGCCACAGAGCCCTGTTCCACACATGCCTGGTTTAATAGCACCTGTGAATAGGTGTTCATTATACAGTGATTACCCACATGTATGGGTACCAATGAACATAGGATTGACTTCCATCTACCCATTTACCTAGGCACTCCCTTTGGATTTTGCACACTGGGTGGCATCATTGGCTGGTGCATTTAATTTGGTATGATCACGTTTCAACATTTTGGATCACATTCCTTTCTCCAAATCAGTTATACAGGTTATTAACAGCCATCCCAAAATGGATTCCTGTGACGTGTAAATTATAACAGTCCAATACTTTCTGTTTTACATATTATGTGGTTTAATCCTTTCTACAATGTCTCCTCATCTCTCACTTAAGTTACATGTTCTTGCCATGATTTTTTTTAAGTATCTCTCAATTGCATAGCGAAGAGTATAAATTACAAGCTGTCAAATCATAAAAGCTTTTTGTAAAGCTTAGTATGGTGTGATATTTTCAAGCTAGTTTTTTTTTAATCTCATTTTTGAAACAAATGGAATCATTTTTGTGAACATTACACAGAATGCACACTGGCCTCTTTTCATCCATTACCTGAAGATCATCAGAAATGTATTTTAAATACAGTAATAAAACATGTATAACAAAATATAATTCATTGTCACTTCAATCAGCATATTGTTCAGTTGTAACAAATGTTGGAGGCCACTTGTTGGAACAAACACTGCAACTTTTAATGGTTGACCACTTGGTTACCTGGCCATACGATGGCTTCCAGTAAGGTTACCCTTCTAGCCAGAACTTCTAATTCAGCTTGAAGATCTTGGAACATCTGCCAACTAACAGCCTGGTGGAGATTGAAAACAGCAACAGAAAATGTTTTGTTCCCCAGTTAAAATATAGTTACGATCAGGACTTGGGAACCAGGCCAGCCATGTTCTTATTACTTTCAATAATTGCTTTAATTCATTTTAGTAAATGTACCTGTTCTAATAACAATCAAGAAGGAAAACAAGTTTGATTTTATTAAATAGGATTTGCCAGCTTTTGGAAAATGACTCAACTGCAAAGAAAAATGCATCATCAGCTGGTAAATTTGACACTTTTTCAAGATTATTTACAGGTTTTTCATTGAAAGTTTCAGGTCATTTTAATTTTTCCATTGAAACTCATTTTGGAGTATAGCATGGACTTTCCTAGTTCCCACTGTTGCAGTGTCTGGGTTTTTGGTTAACCCCATACACACACAGATAACAGTAAGGATTTGTACTGAGAATTGGACATCACACTCAGACACACAATAAAGAACATTTTCAACATTATACCAGCATCCTTTGCTTCAAGTATAACATTTCCCTACATCAAATATGAGTTACCTACTTAAAACCAGAAGCTATTGTTGTGAACAAGTTGTGTATTAAATATTGATTTTTTTTTCATGTTCTGTTGTGTGACCAGTTGTGCCTGTCCATAAGACTCGGTGCAAACATCTTTCTAGTCCCTTTACTCACCATGAATACCAATCATAGTCTCCAAGATTAATACCCTCTCTGCTAAAATCTTCAAAGCTTCCCGGATTTGGTGTATACCTTCCCCCTGTGGAAGACAGATACAGCCATCAAGGGAAATGCCAGCAACTGACTTGCTGTCATATCCTCCTTTGTTTTTGGTAGGGGTTTGGCCTCAATTTCAGCATTCCACACGAATGTCCAAAACAAAGGCAGTTGCATGCAGGCTCCATTTCAGTCTCTAAACTGCAAACATTTAGATATTACTTTTGGGTAGTCATTGCAGTGCATTCATTTGGAGCTCAGACATTTAAAAAGAACACTTCCAAACAAGCTAGCTTGGAACACTTTTCTTAACAGATCTAACAGATTATTCACTAGGCAGAATGCAAACATTACGTTCAAACCATTTACTTTGGGTTTAGGCTATGGAGAAATTTTCTTTTTAGTACAGATGCAACTTGTATCTTAAATAACTGCATATCATTATTACTTGAAATGTCGTACAAGGCAAGATGCAAAAGGAGGACAGATCAGCATGCTGATATTTCTCTGCTAAATAGGGCAGCCGGATGCAAATTATTAGAGTCAGGCGGCACACATAATGTGGTAAGTCATGCAACAAGCCAACATAAATGGAGGACAGTTTTAATGACATTTCCACAGCTGTATCCCCTTCCCCCTGCATGAGGAACAGGTAAATGATTGAAGCACCTGCCACACTTATAACATGTTTAGAAGACTGATGAAATTTGACATGTTTATTTTACATTTTTGTAAGTGAAGCTATATATTCAGCTTCATATAGAAAAAGATATCCAAAGAACAACTCTCACAATCATTTGACTTAATTAATATAATTTTCCTTTTTGAATAGTCAAAATGTATTCAGTCAGAAAGGTTTGGAATAAACATGCAGAAATCATTGAATAAACTATCAACTGTAACCGATGAACCTAGAAACCATGTCTGTAGATATGACTGGGAAATATAGGTTTGAGTTGTAAAACAGCATGCACTATTACCAAGAGCTTCACAGCAGCACCATCAGGAACACAATGATGGTTATGTGACCATAGCAGTTTCTTTCACAGGAGCAAAAGAAACGCAAATATCAATTTCAAATAAAGTGATTACAGAATTTAAAGGATGAAATGAAGAGTTCAGCGATGGGACAACATATTTTCAAAACAGCAGTCGCAAATCCCCAACAGAAAATAGCCATTGTATACCCAACAGATTTTACAGAATCAGGAAATGCATTAAATAGATTTAAGAGCTTTACTGTATTTAAAGTGGCTCTCCAATGGCTGAATTTGTTAAACTATGCAGTTAATTACTGAGTAAGTCATTAGGTTAACAAAAGACAAAACCAACACACTCAGGTTAATGAAAATGTTCATGCATAGTTTGGTAATATAACTCATCTTTGACTTGTTCCCTTTACCCTTAAACCTTTTTGATGCGCGTGAGGTGATAATGCATGTTGATGACTTGCTTCCACCAATACTGCTGGGAGCTGTTTGAGGATATTGGAGGTAACTAATCCTCATCTTCCCTTTTTATAGGAGGATTGCAAAATAGCTCAGGAAGGCAGAACATGTAGAGAGTTCGCAGATGCAATTTGATATGGCCCAGAGTGTGCAGCTAGAGGAACACAGCAGGCCAGGCAGCATCAGAGGAGCAGGAAAGCTGGCATTTCGGGTCGGGACTCTTCTTCAGAAATGGGGGAGGGGAAGGGGGCTCTGAAATGAATAAAGTTGGGGGGGGGCGGGGATAGCAGGTAGATAGTGGAGTGGATAGGATGGGAGAGAAGATGGACAGGTCAAGGAAGCGGGGATGAAGCTAGTAAAGGTGAGTGTAGGTATGTAGTGGTGAGGATTGGTCAGTGAGGTGGGAGGAACAGATAGGTGGGAGAGAAAGATGGACAGGTCTAGGAGGCAGGGATGGGGGTGCTGGTCTTGGGATGAGGTTGAGGGTGGGGAGATTTTGAAGCTAGTAAAGTCCACATTGAGACCATTGGGTTGTAGGCTTCCAAGGCGGAATATGGACCATCTTGCTGGCAGCAATTGGACCGTAGACTCATTGGAGATGTTGAGAAATCAGAGAGACTAGGTTAGCATGTACAAATACCCAGGAGGTCCCAAAATTAACGGCCTGTCTGGTTCATTATCAACCAAAATTCAGGAAATGGTCTCGAAATTTGGCTAATTTCCTTTTGTCAGTTCCTGTAAAGCTTTGGTTGAGACAGGGCCAAATAACATGTCTCCGAGAAGAAGAGATGTGACTGGAGAAGGAGACCTCAGGCTTAAGACTTTCTTCATCCCACGCCTGGTGGAACAGAAGTAGCTACATTAAGCCCACTGGGGAGATTTATAAAGATTATTTTAGAGGGGTGTGAGGCAGATTTGGAATCCCAGCATTCTCTCCCCCATCAACACATCACATAAGGTTTCCTTGGTATCATTGGCTTCCCTGATCAAACAAGCACCCAAGATGCGGCCCAAGTGGTGGTACAGTCCATCAGTAATACTAAGGTAACTTTCCTTGACCTCACATCACCAAGGCCAGGGGTAGAAATCACAAGTGGACACATCCAGGTATCTACACATAGCTGTCAGCCCTGCAGATATCAGGGTTAGAAATCTGAATGTAGCATGATAAGTCTATTCAAAAACAACAATCAACATTTCTGGATTCACAAAGAGTATAAGTGAAGAGTATAAGAACAGAAAACCATGTTGTGAGGTCCAAATTGATGTCAGATACTCAGTCAGCAGTCCAAACCTATAAAATGGCTCCACAGTGCATCATGCTCAGACAGTATGCGATAGTCTGCTGGAGGAAACAGTGACTGCGTAAAGATACAGTAAACTAAAACATTTAGTCTTCAGCATTGTTACTATCATACAAGGGGATGCAAGCATAAAGGGGTAAAAGGCAAGTTCAACACTGCCCAAGATTTTGTCAGTACCTTGGGGGATTCACCTATTGGTTAGAAAACCAACAGGCAAGGCCTGACAGAATCAGGCATTTAACTGGCTACTGTCAGCCCTCATGCATTAAAAGTCCTCAGAGGCAGAAATCCTGCTGGTAATTTGCAATTGTCACTATTGCCAGAGGGAGCAGTGACAGGATTTGCTGGAAGGCCTTCAAAATGTATTTAGGAATCCTGTGTGGCTTCCATCTAATTCCTGTGCCACGATTAATTGGCTGTGTGATAGTGGGTAATGAGCTTAACTGACATCTCACCAGTAGTAGCTGGAATCCTGTAGCAGCCCTTTGTAATTAACTGGGGAGGTTTAGCTGCCATTTGCAGCCTGACACAGAATCCCCAGCCCCCAATCATCATGATTAAGTGGCCAGGCTGTTATGTTTCCGGCCACCATGGGCTGTATTAATTCAGATCGAATACACCTTCAGTTCAATAGCCATCAATACCTGGTGCAGTGTTCCAGTTAGAGTATTGGAGCCAAAAGCTCTAGTGTCATTCAACAGGTGGTTAGATGTTGAAAAATTCAGAAGATGGCATCATAAGACTTTGGAGGATGAACTGAATGAGGTGAATACCTTATCTCATCTGCACTTACTTTTGCGGTCTTTAGGTCAACTGCATTTTTGACTCAGGTTGGGATCAGAATCTGCTGCACTGTTGCTACCTTCATACCAATGTATCAACATGAAAGCAGCAGTATAACCACAACCTGAGATGACAAAGCACTCCTGAGTTATGCAAAAACAGTCCCCAATTTGCGAACGGGTTCCATTCTTGAGTCCGTTCACAAGTTGATTTGTCTACAAGTCGAGGTGCAAAACAGGGCAATGTAAAGTAGTCGTTTGCTATTACAGGAGATGTTTGTATGGTGCATCTTCAAAATTATACCCCTGTATGGAATTGCGTCTATAAGTGCAAGCATTTGAAAGTTGGATGTTTGTAAATCAGGGATTCTGTATATTTAATCAGCTTGTCATCATGCTAACATGTGTGCCATGTTTTAGCAAGGGAGACGAAGATCTAGCCAGTGAGAAACACCTAAAATTTGGCATGGCTCACTTGATACTGCTTTTAAGCTGCATCCACCTGCTTTGGGATATAGTTGATATTTTCTGATTGCTGCAAGAAATAGCAAAAAGGTTGACTTCATTATTCCCAGATCACTCCTTTTCATGAAAATGCTTTCTGTAAAGTAGAATTCACCATGTCTTAGTTCTTAGTTACCCCTGTGTTTCTGTGTCAAATTAAATTCCAGATGGCCAAGAACTTTTAGTGTCATTCAATCTACTTGCAAACTATTCTCATCTAAAACCTGATCAATAATACACAGGCTTGGGACTGACATCGAGTTATAAATGTTTTAGGTGCAGAGTTCGACTATGAAGCTCCAATGTTCTGCACCAAGAACTGCTTGGAACCAGTTTGAAAGAATAACAAAGTGTTAGAGAAACTCAGCAGGTCTGTCAGCATCTGTGGAGGTTGAAACAACGTTAATATTTTGAGTCCAGTATGACCCACTGGATTGACCATCTGAATGTCTCCAAAACTTTCTGCTTTTATTTCATAATTTCCAGCATCCACAGGACGATTTTCCACACTCAACTGCACACCACGGAGGAATGCTGAGCAAAGGACAGGCACATCTTCAGATCAACAGAAACCTGGAGGTTCAGTCACAAGAAGGCATTATCATATTTCTGTCACCTGGCATTGCAAAGAAATGGATGCAATTTCTTCTATCTCTTGGCTGTGAAAGGGATACTGTGTGGGAAACGTTGAGGTAAATGAAAACACAAGTTGGTTTGTGTAATTGGACTAAATGTAGTATGAATTTATCTGTCCGAATTTGTCAACATCACAAACTTTGTAAAATATTGCGTTGAACACTGCAGAATTAGTAACCTTCAACTGCACAGGTTTTAGCTGAAGTTTTATAATTAATGTAAAACTAGAATGTGTTTTGATTCATTTATATTATAATGCAATCAAAGTTTGGTACCTTTTTTTCACTACTGCCTGTAAGAAAGCCAGAACAGGTCAAAACTGGTATTTACGTTGATATTAGTAAACATGGTACACAACGTGTGTGCGCACACAGTTCAAGCAGCTCAGTTATTCATGCTTTTGCATCTGCAATAGGACAGTATCCCTTCTGTAAGCTTTTCTTTTAAAGTAGCTTTGTCCAATTAAAATTTGTAAACTTTACAATAAAGGCCAGGTTGAATCATTTTATTCTTTAACCAGGAAACTGATAAAAGGAAGATACTATTGAGTAATTTAAAATCTTTTAAATGTTACACTTAGACAAACAAAAGGAATACTATACAAAAAATGAACAAACTCAGTCATTTTTCTTCTTGATTAAACAAATCATTTGGAACTTTATGATTTAGAGGGCAATATTTTTCATAAATCTGCTTCATAAAGTAACTATTTTGGGAAAGAATTTTGCTACATTAATAGGAATTGAAACCAGCCATCAGAACTGTGAACCCTTCATTCCAACATTTGAATTCGAAACCAAGGTCCCTGTCTTACCTGCTATTATTTTGTTGCTGAATTATAATGCAAAATTGTAGAGCATTTGCATTAAGTGCTGTGCTTAAAATAGATTACAATGTTGCTACAAAAGCATTTGTGTGCTAAATAACCATTTTCTGCACTGACAAAGAATGGGCATACACATTGTACAGTCCCAGATGAATGTATTTGTTTTAGAACAACCATAACCCTGCAATGGTGACACTTTTATATTCTGGAAATGTTTGTTTCTTCAAATTTTTTTGGAAATTAAAACCCATTGCAAAAATGAGCCAAAATCTGGCTTTATTTTTGTTGCTGAATCCATTCCTTTAGCAGGGATGTGGAGACAATGAAAAACCAATATCAGGGACACTTTACACATCCATATTGCTCCTCGAGCAGTAGTTCTAGACATGCATATGATTTACAAGCAGGAGTGAGCCATTCAGTCTTTTTGAGCCACTCTGTTATTCAATATGACCCACGGCTGATTTGATTGTAGCCTACCCTAAAAATATAAAATGGGATGTTGTGGTGTCCATAAAGCTGAACACAAATATTCTTTGCCGACAGCAAAGTCAAAGTTAGACTTTATACCACCAGAAATATCTAAAATTGGACTAAAGTATGACATGGTTGAATAATTTGACAAATATTCGGAAGTGAAAAATATTATCAGATCAAAAAGTAATTTAAATCCAACATGTTTACTTTAACAGGTTGCTGATCAGCTAATTTCCACAAATTTAATTCAGTTACACCCAAGTTTAAACAGACTATTGGTCACAGTTGTGCACTCTAATTTGTATTTGGAGCTTACCGGTTGTCCTTTATCTCCTGGTTCTCCTTTTATTCCTGGTTCCCCCTGTAAAACATGATACTCTATTAAAGTATAAATCTGTTATGGCATCTTGAAAATACTGTCGATAAGTCAGAAATGTTAAAGGATCAGTTCCATTGTTATTTTCAAGATGCGAATTTGGCAGATTTCACAATTTGTGCAAGCTGTTAACATGAAAGATACTTGTTTGTGGATTCCTGGTTGCTCTGTAGGCAAATGTTCAACCTCGTGTGATGATGAATTGTGCCAACAATAACCTTCCAGGTTAATTACATAGTCCATGCTGAGTTCTCAGTTTCAGATAATGAGTTACTAGAAGTGCAAAAGCTGCCTCAGCACCTTGCCCTTGTCAGGGAAAAAGTGCACAAGGTTGGCCTTATCCAACAAAGACCCTAGAAGGTGGACAAACAGTTCAGTAAGTGGTTCTGCTGTAACAGCAGATGGGTTTGGTGAGTAAAACAGAATCAGGTTTGCTTCAATGATGATCATAACCAGATAACTTACAGTCTGGATTAATACATGAAAAATACCAAAGATGTTTCCTGCAAGCTCCTCTAACTCATGGTCCTCTAACAGTCTCCTGACTGGGGCGGCATGGTGGCTCAGTGGTTAGCACTGCTGCCTCACAGCACCAGGGACCCTGGTTTGATTCTACACTTGGGCGACTGCCTGTGTGGAGTTTGAACATTCTCCCAGGGTTTGCTTGGATTTTCTCTGGGTGCTCAGGCTTCCTCCCCCCAGTGTTAAATTGCCCATAGTGTCCAGGGATGTGCAGGTTAGGTGGATTAGCTATGGGCGATGCAGGATTACAGCAATAGGGTAGGGTGTTGGGTCTGAGTGGGATGCTCTTCAGAGGGTCAATGTGGACTTGACGGGCAGAATGGCCTGCTTCCACACTGTATAGATTCTATGAAACTATACTCTAGACCTGAATGCGACAGGACAGAAGGAAAGAAGATTGAAAGACAAAGAAATCACCATTTCACCATTGCATCCCACACAGAATTTGGTCTCCCCAGAATTAGAGTGGGATATTTTCCCTAAACATCATGCCAACATTCCAGTCCAATCTTCCAAGTAGTTGTCTTTAAGTATCCATTGAGAGTTCCTGGTGGGATTCACATCAACTAGTGGGAGCTGAACAGTGGCTTCCAGAGAAACCATTTTGATGGCAGACCAATATAAGAGGCAATGCCAAAGTGGCCACAGTACTCTAAAGCTTGAACCAGGCCACGCCCTGTCCTTTAACTATAGACATGCAGATTGTCTTTCATCAGGTGCGTATCCAGTTCCCTTTTGAGATTCCCAACTGTTTATGTCTCCAATACATTCTTAAACAATACATTCCAAAATAATTGCTATGTCAAAAAACTTTTCTTTATGCCACTCTTGGCTCTTTTGTCAACTATCTTAAATCAGTATCCTCTAACTTTCAACCCTTACGCTAATAGAAATTATGTCTCCCTATCTCCCTTGATCCCTCATGGCTTTGAACACCTCCATCAAATTTCCTCTCAGCCTTCTCTTTAAGGGGAACAACTCCAGCTTCTCCATTCAATCCACAAGACTGAAGTCGCACATCCATGGAATAGTTCTCATAGATCTTTTCCTTTTTAGCCTTCACATAAAGTGCAGTGCCCAGAACTGGACACAATGCTCCAGCTGAGACTGAATCAGTGTTTATTAAAAGGTTCATCTTATCTTCCTTGCTTATATATTCCCTTCCCGTGTTCATAAAACCCAGGATCCCATAAGCCTTTTTAAGTGCATCTGCCCGAATACTTTTAGTGATTTGTGACATTTATCTCCATCTCTCTGTTCGAGCACCCACTGGGTAAGAAGCAGCAGCTAGTGGAGACACAGGAGGAATTGCTGGAGCAAAATAAACATAGAATTGGTAATAGGCCGTACAATCCAAATGTGCCCCCTTTTCTACCATTATCATGCTTGATTTCAGTTAATGAAGAGGAATATCCATTCTTTGTGGAAATTTTCTGCATTTTCTCATGTTCCACTATAAATCCTTCAAGGGTCACTTGGTTGTCAAGAATCTGCTGTCCATGACTACAGTGATAGCACTGAAAGTTATTATTTCAGAAATTAAAGAACCTGGTTCTTAAATGGACCATTGTCCCAAAATAAAATATAAGTTCTTTCCCAAAAGCACATGAGTATCAAAACCTTTTCTAATCGAGCTATATCTTTTGTGGTAATTAAAACAAAACATGCAAATGATAGAAATTTGGAATAAAATAGGAAATGGACAAGATTCATGAAAACATGGTAGAAACAATTACATTGAGTCAATTAAATTCCACTTGAGTTACTAAATTTGACTATATTACATTCACTCTGAGTACAGAATTTGTTTTCTATGCATAAGATTCCAAAAGAAATTCAGAAATAAAATCTAAAAGGAGATAACTGCCAAGGTTATGGGGACTGAACAGGGGAGTGGACTGTTAGGATAGTTCCTTCCAAATGTTGACATTAGCACAATGGGCCAAACAACCTCCTTTTGTGCTTTATGATTCTATTCAGGTTCCGAGTTACAAACAGCAATCTCCCTTGAACGCTCAGCACATTAGATACCATAAATGATTGTGAAAGGTGGCATTCTAATTACTACCACATAAAATACATGAATTAAACATTTTGAGTAAACAAGAGATGGCACTAAGGTGAGGGAAGCAATGACATTGTAGAATTTATTTATATTACACCTTCAATGTAGTAAATATCTCAAGGAATTTCTCAGGAGCGTTAGCAAAAAGATATATGACACCGAATCACACAAGGACAAGCTAGGGCAGAAGACAAAAAGCTTGATCAAAATGGTTAGGAAATACGTTTTAGGGAGCATCTTAAAGGATGAAAGAGAAGCAAAACAACAGAGAGGTTTAGGCAGTGAATTGTAGAGTTTAGGACTTTGACAGTCGAGGGCAGTCACCAATGACGGAGCAATTCAAATTGGGAGATTACAGCTGTAGGGAGGGGAGAGGTCATGGAGAGATTTCCAAATAAGGGAAATGTTGAGAATCTTAGAAGCAACATGTTTGTTTAACCAGAAGCTAATGTATGGCAGTTAGGTGGGGAGTGGGAGTTGGCGGGGTAAGGGTGGTAGATGGGTATAAGCAAGGTCATTGGCAGTTGAGTTTTTGATGACCTCAGGTTTATGGAAGGTAAACTGTGGGAGGCCAGTCATGAGTGCAGTGGAATACTCAAAGCCAGATGTAGCAGGAGATGAACTGAAGGTGGATAGAACCAGGTGGTGATACAGGTGAAACTGGAACACTGCAAGAACACAACATTAAAATAATAAGCCTCTACAGGCCAATAAAGAAGCAGTTTTCTTTTTTTAAAAAAGAAAAATAGGAATTGCATAATAAAAGAGTAAACACAACAAAAGAGCAAATGGAAATTAATGACAGACTCAGCAACAGGAAGAAAATTACCACACTGTGTAAGCAAAATAAGCTTATTCCAGAAAAGGGGAGAACTACAATGCACAGTATGATTCTACAATGACACAGGATTTACAACAAAGAAACAGACTATTCAGCCCAATGTCAATGTTGTGGTGTTGTAGGCATTAACGCTCAGATCAAACATCCTCCCTCAAGGTACTTCATTTAAATCTAACAGCGAATCCTTCTTTGTCCTTTCACCCTACAATCTGGCTCAAATATAATCTTGCACCATTTTAAGGTTGGAATTAATTGAGTTTAAACAGTCAGTTAGAGAGAGCACTGAGATGACTAGAATGAACAGTGAAAAATAGAAGCATCACACTAATGCATTTTTCTGAGGTTGGAGTTAATGCTGAAATGCAGTATTAATGCAGAATTGGGAGAACTTTACATCTAACTCATGCTACACTTAACCCCGAGAATGCCTGAGTACAAAGAGTAGAAAAATGTTCTGTTTTCTCACACAATATATCTCGGTTTGATCAGATGAAAGAATTAAAAAGGTTTAAAAACAAGGAAACCACAAAGTACACAATTTCTAGAAAACAGGAAGGAGAAAAAGGAACAAAATATGTGCAAATAAACAGCATGAAGTAAATTTAAATGAAAATACCATATGGGATAATCTAAAAATAATATGGCTAATGTGGGCAGCTGAACAGGAGTAGGCAGGCCTTTTTCAAATATCTATATGAAGAAAGGGGAATAGCAAATTCAGGGTGCCCTGTGTGTGTCAGGGGTACACCCATCTTTCCTTCCATGTCACTGCCCATCAGAAGCTACCTTTCCTGCTTTGTGAGGTTGTAGACATGTTTGCCAAGCATGTCTACGACCTTATCCACAACCCGAGCTACAAATCTTCTCGAAAACTTTAAATTTCCTGCTGTGTCTTTGTGCTTTGGGATCCTTCTCAACCTTAAAAATCCCACAGTTACCATCTTGAGGCAACCCTGATCTTTCTCGGGCTTGTTCCTACTCTATCGGTAGTGCCCACTACTGAACTTTGGTGCTGCCAGAGGTGATGGAGCTGGTCCAAGGGCAGAACTTCACTGAAACTGAGGAGTGGAAACCCTGCCATTAGCCAACTTAGCCCAGCCACAGTGCAGGGGTGTGGGGGTGTGAGGGTGGATAAGCCGTCTGCTGCCCAAACCCATTTCCCAGTAAATCTCTGCTCCTTGTCTCTAATGCTGGAAAAACCAAAAATAAATTTGATAATTCCTGAGCAATCATCATAGTATCCCTGTAGCTTGGAGGCAGGCCATTTGGCCCATCAAGTCATAATCTACCTCCTGATGAGCATCCCACCCAGACCACCCCCTACCCTGTCCCTATAACCCTGCATTCCCCATGACTAACCACAGAGTTGTGCGCATACACAAGTTGCCACTGATCACTCTACCACGCAGTGGTGAGACTCAAAGCAAAATATCTTTGCTGTAGTCATCCAAGTACAAATTCAAAGCTCTCAAAGATTTTTGAAGAGCCTTGTTACTTTGGTGACACAAAATGGTTTAATGTACTTTGAAAAAGAATGCTGTGTCTTGTTCATTGTCTACTAATTTTTTTTTTCTGTCCCTGTATAAATTTACGCCTTGTATTGAACACGTTCTTGAATGCCACTTGATACTTGTTGGCCCTGGGGCAGCCAATGGTGAGGTCACTGCATTAGACACAGCAAGTCTTCATGTGGCCGAACAGGCAGTCCCTAAAGGGAAGCTCCCATCAAAAAAAGGGCATTAAAATACTCTTCGAGTGGAGAGATGAGTGACAGGGAGGCGGAAGGGTTTGTCAAAATTCTCAGAAATTTGCTGATTTAATGACAATTAGGTGCAACTTTGTTTCATCTCAAGTCTTTCCAATCTGGGACCAGGATTGTTCCCTGAATTTTTAGGTAGGAACAAATATCCTCACTCACACCCCCCCATACACATGAACACACTTCCTTTGTTTCAAGTTACAGGAGCATCACAATTCAACAATATACAAATAAACGTTACTGGATCAAGGAAAAAATTGATGAAATAAAGACATCAATTCAGTCAGGAAAAATCAAGATGTATGCAAATGGTGGCATAACTTACCATTTCTCCTCTGAGGCCTCTTTCTCCAGGATATCCAGATGGGCCCTAATTGAGTTAAAAATACAGATTTCATTTACAGATCAGCCATTAAACAAACAGCTATGGAGTTACACGTTGTTATTTTAAAATCAGTTTGGAATCGGGATACAGCGCAAATTAAAATGAGAAATAAATGATAGTTCAACAATGGAAAAGCCAAAGTCATTAAAAATACTCATCTCAACGCAGATTTGAGAGGGGTAGCAGTCCAACTTTAAAATGGCGTGCCACTAACCTGACATTGCTACTCTCCTTTGTGACTGTCCTGCTTTTCCAATCACTACCTTCTCCCTATTACTTCACTCATCCACCTTCATTCCTTATCATCCTTTCCAGGCAACCCCCATCCTTCTACTTTGACTTAGTCAACATTTCAGACCAAAACTCGAATAAACAACAGAAGAGTGCATTATTTCTGGTGCCATTAGTGAGTAACAAATTTATGCTAGCATATGGCACTTGAAATGTTTGGTTTCCAATGTCTGCATGTTTATAAGACTCCTGCCCATAATAGCAGGGATTTTGGGAAATGTTGATGCACAAAGGGACCTGGGTGTCCTCATATACCAATCATTGAAATCAAACATGGAGATGCAGTAAGCAGTTTGGAAGGCAACTGGCATGTTAGCCTTTATTGCAAATGGAGTTGAGTACAGAAGTTTTGGTCTCCTTACCTTAGAAAAGATAAACTTGCCATAGAGGGAGTGCAGTGAAGGTTCACACCACAAATTCCTGGGATGGCACATTCTTCCCATGAGGAGGAATTGGGTTGAGCAGGCCTATATTCATTGGAGTTTAGTAGCATGAGAGGGGATTTCATTGGAACAACAGAAGTCTGACAGGGTGGGATAGATTGGGTGCAGGGATGTTGTTTTCCTTAGCCAGGGAGTCCAGAACAATGGGTCATAGTCTCAAGATTCAGGGTAAGCAATTTTGGACTGAGATGAGGAGACATTTCTTTACTCACAGGGTGACGTACCTGTTGAATTCTCTATCATGGAAGGCTGCGAGGGTGAAGTACTGATTATATTTAAGAAATAAATAGATTTCTAGGAGCTAAAGGGGTAAAATGGGACAGGGATAAAGAGTGGGTGTATACCATTTAGATAGTGGACGAACCATGATCATATTTAATGGGGGAGTAGCGCCTCGATGGGCTTAATGACCTACTGATACACCTGTTTTCTTTGCCTCTCTGTTTGTTTGAGTATTTCAATAATATAGAATTGGATAATTCTGTAAACTCTGCAATCACAGCAAATCAAACTTTGCACTACACTGTGGAAAGGAAGGTACTTTGAGCTGATTGTAAGCCAGCAATTGTTTGCAGCCACCAAGGTGTTATTAATTATATTTCCTGGCATTTCTTCATGTGCTGGTCAACCGTTATGGAGAAGAGGCTCCACAGGATCTGGGTCAGCCGTGTCAGAGACAGCCATCTGTTGTTAACAACACTTTACTAACGCGGCCTATAAACCTGCCACAGCCATTAGCTGAACCAGTCAGCTGTTGTCTCAATACTATACACAAGGACTTCATTTTTGGCTGACATTGTCACTTGTTGTCATTTCAGAGCTGATAAAGCTTTTAAGCCTTTTCAAGGGCTTTCATTAACGTTCTCTCTCCATTGCAACATTGCTCTTTAATTATTCCTAAGCCTTTATTTTTATTCCCAAAAAAAATCCCTTGCAATCGCTAACAAAACAACATTTATTGCCTCTCCCTAGTTGCCCTTGAGAGGGTTGTAGTCTGTTGTCTTCTTGAGTTGGTGCAGTCCATGTGATGAGGTTTTAGGCACAATGCAGTTGCGTAGACAGTTCTAGTATTTTTACCCAGAGACAGTGGTAGGACAATGACAGCATTAGGAAGTGATGCTGTTTCCAAAGCCCTGAAGTTTGGAGGAGCTGCTGCAGAAGGCTTCACACCTTATCTATAGGTTGCCGGCGAGTACCTGCCATTTGATAACACTGTCAGCAATACCTCCCATCACTTTGGTGATAATCGAAAGTAGGCTAACAAGGCTGTATTTGGAGAGACTGGACTGGATTGGATTTGGCTGGCTATTTATGAACAGGTCATGCCTGGGACACTTGCCAATTTTGTCAGTCTATGTCAGAATTGTTGGATGCACTGAAACAAGGTGTATGTTTAGGATATGCCTAGCTCTAGTTCAGAAGTCTTCCATACTACATCTGGGAAGATGTTGGGACTCATGATCTTTGTTGTATTCATCACATTCAGTCCCTCATTGACATTAAACAAAGTGAATTGAATTGGTGGAAAACTGGCCTGTACAATAGTGGGTTTATGAGGAGGTGGTTGAACTAGGTCTTCCACTCGGCACTTTTCGTGAAGTTACAAATGCCCTGGACTCATTCGTTTTTACTTGTGTTGGGTTCCATCATCATTGACATTGGGATTGTTCATGGGCGTTCACCTCTCATTAGTTATTTAATTTTCCATAATCATTCACAGGTGATTTGGCATGATGACAGAGCTTTGACCTGATGTGACGTTTTGGGTTGAATTGTGACCAGGCATCTTGCCCATGGAATCGTGATAGAACCTGTCCCTGTGTCTGGGGATGACTGTGCCAATGCCAGTGTATAGGATGAAAAAATGTCAGCCAAGAATCAATCCTTGAGAGACTTCACAGTGATGGTGCAGGCGTAGAAAAGGATGTCATTCCTAGAAATGTTGGTCCACAGTCAGTTGGGTAAGTGGAGGTGAGGATAAGAAAGTATACAGGCACATGAGAAACTGAGAGTTGGATAAAAAATTAGCACTAGCAAAGTTTATTTTCTTCAGTTGATGATCAGCCTACCCTCACACAGTATTCATCAGCAAACACTGATGCTATTTACTTCAATGGTGTCTTATTTCTCATGTCATAAAGGTAGCTACAAACTAAATAACATTGTAGCCTTATAAGGCATTCTAACACTTCAGTGCGTCTAACATGTCCTACTTCAACCTTGTGAATATGTCTGCAACTTACTCTGTCTCCCTTTTCACCTTTAGGTCCATCTAATCCTGGCATACCTGGCCGACCAGCCAATCCCTATACAAAACAAAGCACATTCTGTTTAGAAAAGTGAGACTGGAAACATGAAGTTATCATATGAGAAGTTAACAGCTCCTAACTGAGACAAAATCTCTTCATGCAAAAGTGGAATTTAGATTCCATTTATAATTTGGGACTCTGCGAGAATAAAGCCTAACAGAAGACCAACAAAAAAAGTTCATATTAATGTGGACATGTATGAATTACTGTAAAATTTGAATATTTTCTCTGTTAGAACCGCATCAGTTATTTACGCACCACTTTTGCAATGACTTACATCTTTTCCTGGAGGCCCAGGTGGTCCAATAGGTCCTTGTTGACCAGGTGAACCTAAACATTTTCAACAAAAGATTGTGCTTAATTTGTGCAAATGCCTAATTTATTCAAAAACCTCTAATGATTAATCAACAGCAAGTGATGCCACGCATCTCAGAGAAGGAGCACATCAGAAACAATGACTGAATGACATGGGGCCAACTGCTCCCACCTCCTCCACCCTCATTGGCTAAAGAGTGAACTAGGCAGCTTGTGATGTACCTGTAGTGCCAGGGCAAGTGGTGCCCCCTTCCCGTACTGCACACTGGCAAATTGCAACTTTGGATGTTAGTCAGGGGGCTGGAGGCTGGGGTTTGAGAAGTCACGGGGAGATCGTCTGGGGTCAGGGTGGAGTGTGTTGCTAAACCTCTCATATTGGCCAAAGTACAGGCTAAAGAGAATGCATCCTGACCACCACCAGCCCACACAGGCTGTCTGCTTGATGTGGGCCATTCCTATCCCTGGTCAAATGCCGGTGCAGTAAGGACCCGAAGTGGGCATTAATTGCTCACTTAAAGTGTTCAGTTGTTTCACTTGCAATCTGGCCACTCAATGCCACTCCTGCCACTGGTATAACTATGTTGGGAACAGGGCAGGTAGGTAGACATTGGGCAGGTTACCCACTGGATTTAATGTACTCCCTGTCCACTCCCTGTCTTTAAACCCATTGGTGGGGGAACACTAAGTCCAACTCATTCGGTCCCATTTTTAATTCTGTGCAAATGGGTGCATTATTTTGCCCAATACTCTTTATCCCTCCTCCATATCTGATCAAGTGACAGTGCATGTTAGTGCTTATACATGTCATGCCAAGGGGAGATGGTGCCCTTGTGGTAATGTCACAGGACTAGTGATGCAGGGTCTCACTTTAATACTCTGGGGACACAGCTTCAAGCTCCAAAGGCAAATGGTGGAATTGGAATTTAAATAATTAATTTGGAATTGAAAGCTAGTTCATGGTGACCTTGAAACCATCTTCGATTGTCAGAAAGACCCATCTGGTTTCCTGGTGTCTTTTGTGGAAGTCTTCACTTGATCTGACCAATCTGGGACTCCAGACCATAACTGTGTGGTTGACTCTTTACTGTCCTCTGAAAATAGCCTATAAAGTCACACAGTTCATGGGCAATGAGTGATGGGCAATGAAGACTGACCTTGTCAGGGACAAGTTCAACCCATGAAACAAGAAAGGGCCTTCTCTTTGCTTCCAATTCGTTGTCTCCCTGCCCTTAATCCACCTGCACTGCTTGACCTCTACACTGGATGTACTGGATTGCTGGACCTCCTTGTTTAGTGAGCTCTTCAAGACACACAAGCAGCCCACAGAATGATACTGAAGCCTGAAAGTGAAAATTGGTCATGTCTCTTGCCAGCAACATTAGACATGGCTGCAACTTCTTTCCTTCCTCACCACCCACAATCCACCCCAAGACATCTGCTGAAAATGAAAATTTACATCAAGCCACAACTGGGTATATTTCACAACAATGATGCAGCTATAATTTTCTCCTACTTCATTCATAGGGTGTGGGCACTACTGGCAGAGCTAATATTTATTGCTACTGAGAAGCAAGGGTCAGATGTAAATATATGTTTTCATTCAATTGATTGCAAAACTAATTTCATAATTAAATGTGGTATATTTATTTCATTTGTTTTCCTCAGTCCTTTCAAGTGATCCTCAGCTACAGGCACGGCATAAGAAGGTAGACCTATATGCTCCCAATGTTATTTTTGTGTCACTGTACTGCTCTATGGCAGCCAACATTTCAAGTTTCCGTAAATTTAATTTTTATTCTCCCAAAAGTGAAAATAAAAATTTTATCCAAAATGAAATTATGCTTTATTCTTAACATTTTAAAAAAATTGCACATTTTCCTTTCCTCTCCAACCTTCTCTGTTGTCCCTCTTGCATTAATAGGCAAGAAGATTCCAGTCCACGGTACTGCTAATTAAATGGGTCAATGGAAAAGTAACAAGTGCTGCTCAGATTGATCACTGTCCCCTACTTCTAAAGTTTGCCTTTGGGGAAGTGGCAAACATGTGGTGGAAGACACACCTTGCTGCTCAGTTAAATGAATCTTGATCATTATTGTGACAACAGCCTCTCATTGCATTATTTAAAACCAGGACAATAATGGATTGAGCAATACAGCTTCATGGATGTGGTAGATCGTTCATGAAAAATGATCTAAAATGAAGTCTCCTTGAAGTGTAAAACTTACCGACAGGTCCCACTGGTCCAGGAGGTCCACGAACACCAGTTACAACAGTGTCTGTGAAGGTATTTGACAAGACGGAATCACCTGTAGCAATGAGACATACAAACATTAAGTTGAACTTTACTTCACAAAAAAAAAATGTATTTTACTAAAATCTTTGAGTCTCAATCATATTTGGGTCCACAGATTGTGAATACAGGAAATGTATTTTTTTGACTCTTGAAATTTCTCATCTTCTTTGTTGAAGATACTGGAGTTCCTTGCCCTTGAGATCATTTTTCAGCACAGTTCCAACAGTAGGTACTACCATGTGATTTTACAGTCACCGCTGGGCAATGATCAGTTAACTCAAAACTAATGTTGGGTTGAATCTGGCTTTTCTGACTTAACTTGCCAAATGAGTTACTAAGACTGCCGAACAATTATATAGATATAAAAGGGTAGGGATGTCCCAGGCAATCATCTTATACCAGCACCGTTACAGATATAAATCCTGGAGAAATTAGGTAAATGGATATTTTTGCTCTCTCCTCTGGGCTTCTAATGATCTCATTTATTAGTGTTATGGAAGCAGAACAGGGCAACCTCTATAAAATGTCTGTCATACAATGCTAAGGTAACATTTTATAGTTTTTCTCAAGAATTTTAATATACTAGAATACATGAATCGACGAGTTGAATTTTTGCTTTGGGTCCAGACACTTCCTTGGCATATTTCCTGGTCACAAACCACTTTGTGCCAATGCCTGAAGTCCAACATGATTTTTTTTATAGTGTCCAGGGAGTACTCTTTCTATTCAGTTAAAGAGGGTGGACAGGCTCCCTCGGTTGGAGGACAAATAGGAGGCCACTGGTATAGTTGGGAGTTGCCGATGTAAGTAAGACGGAGAGAGGGAGCATCTTTCCAAGATTAAATTTACGCTGGCCACAGCTACCAGACCAGTACCTTAGATGGGGAACAGTTCTAAAGGGCACATGTCAAAGTACTGGCTGCAGGAGAAGAAAGAGGACTTTTATGGGTGGGTAGCCATCACTAACCTCATACCAATGAAATGGCATCTTCTAAAATAGCACAGCAACAGGAAACATGTTGAGAAACTGGCATGCCAGCCAGAGATGGCAAAGTGAGGCCTCACCTGCCTCCTCCTGAGATTGAAAAATTCTACCCAATGAGTGAGTCACAAAACAGTACATTTGTTATTTTTTCAGTGGCTGATATAATTATAGCTAAATGGTGACTTGCCACCAGAGGGCAACATGCTATTTCTAATGCTAGACCTACTTTAATAAGCCTAATGTAGGACCCTATGATAGACTCGTAATCTATGACCAGATATAGATTAAATCATATTTAAAGTAATAACATTAATAGCACTATTGAAAATAGTGAGAAAAGCAACAGGCTGCATTTCATAGAATCACAGAATAGTACTGTTATATTTACCCATGAAGTGAACACCATCAATTTTCTGCAACAAACCATATTTTGCTCACTCCTAATATCCTTTAATAAACTTTCATTCAAGCTACTAACTCCCTTTTTGAAGGTACATATGAATTCTGTTTATTAAAAAAAAACACTTAGCACATCATGTCATATTCTATTTTCTCTCTAAATAAAGATTTCCTTTCTCACCTATTCTTTAAATCCCTTTTCTGATCAGCAGGGGTCTCTGCTTGGGTCTCCCAATATCCTGATGTACCAGAAGATCAGCAGAAATCAGAAGAGAGGCAGCATAAATAATCTGTTGTGCAGTTTCTTACAGCAGGAGATTGGTAGAATTCCCATGCAAGTTACTGGTGATTATCTCAATCTGCTTTTGTTAAGTATTAATCGATCAATACTTACCCCTTCGTAATTCTGAGGCTTTCCAATGGATCATCCTCAACTTTCTCAGAGAGAGAAACAACTCAAGTCCCCCACTCACACTTCAAATGTTAACATCTTAGTGAACCCCTGCAGTGACAAGCTTTCAACTCACTTTGCTGGTTTACACTGTATCAATTTTGGTCCTATTGTGTTGCGAGACCTTAGCCTCTCAGTTGTTCTGCACTATTCACTGCAATTGAGCTTTCTGTTTTGTGAAGAGTTAAGAGATAAACATAGGAAGATACTCTAGCCTGACATTCTAAACAGAAAGCAACTGGTACGGGTTTTGATCTGATTCATAGGATTGTGCTACAGGAGAGTAGCCACAACTTATTTCGTTCAAATCAACAATTCCATTTAAGGTGGCTCAAAGATGCAGGACCTTAATGTCTTCAATATTTTATACCATGCAATATTACACGAGGTATGGCATGCGCTGTATGTTTGGAAGGAGGAAATGACTTCGGATCACTGGGTCCTAAAGCTCTCCACTAGTGGCCATTTCTTGCTTCAGTTCATCGAAGACTAATTAATTGCAATTGATTGGTCAACAGCTCCATTAGCAGAATGGTGCAAAGTGATCTAAGGGAGAGGTGACAACATAACGGTAATCTCACTGAATTGTTAACCTAAAGGCACTGACTAACACTTGGGGGTGCAGGCTCCTGAGGCAATGTGGTAGTGTTCCTAACTCTGGGCCAGAGGATTCAAATCCCATCTACCCCTGACGTGTGTCATCATTTGTCTGAAGAGAATTATTAAAAATAATTAGAAAATTGTACAGCACAACATTATAGAAAGTGAAACTGACCAAAGCTGTTCCTCTGTATTTTCATTTATTTTCTGAAAGGTAAAATGTCTTGTTCTGGCCTCACTATGCTAGGATGTTATGGACCTGCCTTTAAAATAATGAATCATGCTAAAGGTATTTGAGAAAGAAATTAGGCAGGATTGTTTTGTGGACTGGGACCCTGACAGCAGAATCACTTCCAGGTTCTGAGCCTACACTGCTTGAGCATGACAAGCCCTGAGTGAATTTTGTTAGATTGACCTACTAAAGGCATCCCCTTGAGGACAGTGCATGGGGTCCCAATGCTAGCTGGCCAACTGAAGGACCACAGCAGTCAGGAAGCTGCGATCTACTGATGCAGGCAAGGATGGAGGCTGAACCCCTTCTTTCTCCAGTTGTTTTTGTTCGCTTTATTCTTTCATATGATCTGGATGTCACTGGCAAGGCCAGCATTTGTGCCTATCTCTCCCTGAATGGCTTAATATGAGCCCATTTCAGAAGGTTGTTAAGTGTAAACCACAGTACTGAGGTATTAGATCAGGTAAGGCAGACAGACTAAAGGACTTTAGTAAACCAGATGGATTTTTAACAATCAATGATTAGCTTTAGTTTTAACTGATGTAGTGCAATCTGAAGCTGTGTCCCCAGAGATTTAGCCAGGCCCTCCGAATTTCCAATCTAGTGACAGTACCACTACACCACTGTTAGCTTAATGCTGCTTGCAGGCAGGGTGACAGGTTTGCTTCAAAATGGTCTGGAGATGGGGTCCTTCTGGTGAACCAGCATGCACCCAGCAACATGTTCTGTCCATGGCACTCATGTCAGATCATAAGGAAGTCCGAATGCTATCTCTCTCGGTCATGTCATAGAATCAGTAGATAACAGAGTTCATCAGCACATCTCTAAATGCATGACCATCAAATTGTTCAGAGGGAAGATCAGTGACACTGCTTCAGGCAAGACTTAAAACTTGGAAGATATGTCCCATCAGCTTTATTCACCTGTATCTGATAACAAAGACTCTCTTTCCTCTCGTTCTTTAAATATGTTACTATTTATCATTCATTCCTTTTCTCTGCTTTTATTTATGTTCTTACTTCTAAAAAGAGAAATAAAATTAATTTGTGACTTGTGTTTTGTCTTGACTACATGCAATTTAAATGCTTATGCTCAATGCGGTATTGCAAGCCAGCTGACAGATGGCTACACACTCCAGTGATGGACTCATGGTACAGTTAAGGTCACTTGTCAGAACATAACAGCATATGTCCCACTCTCAAACTGTGAAAGGTTGAGAATAGTTAGTACAATAAACTGAAGTACTATTGAGAAAGAAATGTTGGAAGCATCACACTGAATTGTCTTAAAATGCTAAGCATGTTCATTTAAAATATTTAAAGCATCTTTTATGTCAATATTATGATCAAAAATAAGTTTTGAAAGATTTAAGTGAAGTCAGGTTAAGCACAATAAAGATTAATAGATTAGCAGGTTGGGAAGAAGTTTAAATCAGGATGGTAAGCCCATTACTCTGACAAAGGCCAGAGATACAATATTTTTAATCTTTCCATTTCTCACCAAAGCCATTCCTCAAAAACAAGGGCTGCACAGCACCAGAGATATCCCAATGACACTCAAGGCCCACTTTATGGTGTTTTAGTGTAAGACTGTTTATGTACACATGCCTGACTCAGTTCAGAATACTCAAACATAACCAGGTAGTGAGTGCTGAATCCAAGGTCATTAAAGGGACCAGAGATTATACCCAAGTCTTTGCTGGTCCATTATCAGTTGAACTGTTTTCTAATATAAACAGCAGAAACACTGGGAAGTACCTTGCCTTTGCTTTAAAACTCTTCCCCTGATGAGTCAATAGGCTTTAATGATCCTCAGGACACAAGACATTTGGAGATGCACACACTCCTCAAGATCTGAGCACTTATGGATTGATAATAAATATTGACCAAGCCATTGTGCCCACATCCTTTAAACAAAGAAAACAAAACAACAGATACATTGTCATGAAGTTGGGTCGAGTACTTGTGGATTTTAAGGCAGGAAGTTAGAATTTGGTGTTTGCAAAATGCTGAGGGGGTGGAGGTGATGAAAGCATTGGCGTGGTGCCTTTAAAAGATGATGTGCTTTTTATATGCTTAGAAATTTTTTAAAAATATGAGCAGCTTGAAAGTCTGCAAGTACAAAGAGCACCTGAATTGAAACATTTGTATCAGAAGGCTGTATAGTTAGCACGCAAATAGCAGTTTTGTTTTGTTATCAAAACAACAAGTTTTAAATTTAGCCAATTAATTTGAACCAGGCACTTGGATACTAAAAACCAATTACATTTAAACCTGTGGTTTTGACAACATAGGGCCAATCCTAGTGCAAGAAATTGATATGTCATCAAGGGTATAAAAGGAGAGG